CTGTGGCCATTCCCCATAGGTGGGTGCTTTCTCACTTTCTCTCTCTCTCTCTTTTTTCCTCTCCCCACCTCTACCAATGATCACATGCACCCTCTAGTTGATTATCAACGAATCAATCAATCCCCAAGTCTTAGTGGTTTACCATAATTTATTTCTGGCTCATGTCATGTTCAGTGTGTTCTGAGTGGCCTTTCCCAAAGTGGTGTTCTGGAGATTCCTAGCAATTCAGGTACTTTTCATCCTCAACAGGTGATCTCCATTATCACTGCATAAGTATCAAAGAGTGGGGGCCAGACAGTCATTGTGGTTAAGGCAATTGGATCCCACATGACCTACTGTGTGGTTCAAGTCCCAGACCCAGCGACTTGAAAAACTCACTGGGCACATGTGCATCTGTGCCCCAATTTCCAAAAAGAGAATGAAGAAGAAGGGATTGAAGTATGGCCACCTTCCATGGGTTAGGGTGATTTCTCTCTCTCTCCCTCCCCACCCCACCCCCATCTGTCTCTGGCATGTGCATCCACCCAATGGCAAAAACTTTTAATAAGAAAAAAAATTGAAGCATGTAAGGAAGGTATGCTGACCCTTACCCTGCCTTGGCCCAGAAGTGTCATTTATTAGTCCCTTTCACATCCCATTGGCTATAACTAGTCACATGAGCACAAGTAGCTGCAGAGTTGTAGGAAAATGTTGTCTTGGCTAAGCAGCTGCTTCCCAACAACTGTACTTTGAAAGAGCATGAGCACGTGATAGATTGAAGGAGCACAGAATCTGGGAAAAGGACAGAATTCCTGAGCCTAGAAGGGAGAGGAATTTAGCAGAGGCCAGAATGGCCAATCATTGCTGGACTGCTTAGGACTGAGGACAATATACCAAAGAGACCATCTCCTTTTGCAGTAGAGTGAAGCCATCACAGGTGTGATATGGTCCTATGTGCACCTAGTCACAGTCACCTTTTCTCTCGTCTTTTGCTACATGGAAAGGGGACTTATGGCACAGAAATATAAATATTTGTATTCTCCTACAGGTCCTGCCAGTAACCAGCTGTGCTACCTTGGATCAGCTACTTAGTATCTCCAAGCCTCAGTTTCCTTATGAATGTAATAAGCACAAAACTATGAACCATTTACCTTAGGGAGGCATGGAGATCAAATAGATAATGTCAGAGGATCATCCTTTAAAAACTATAAATTATTCTACAGGTACAAGAGGATTTTATTACTCTCTTTTCCTCTGTGGGGGGAGATATTTTTTTCCCCAGGGCCTCAAACTATAACTTAATATCTGCCAAGTTCCTCAAATATACTTAGTTCACTGATGATCTACCAATGTAGAATAAAAAGTAGCTCAATATAATCTTCTACAAGGACAGATTGTGTATATATATGTATATATATGTATGTATATATACACACACACACTCACATACATGTACATATACAATCAGAAGCAGCTTCAAGACTTCTGAGCTGCTGTGTAAGAAAGTGTAATAGAATTATCTGTATTAACATCCTCTCTTTTCCACAGTCTTGAAAACTCCAGCTGGAAAGGGCTCAGGCAGTGTATTTCCATTAGAATCTAAGCACCTGCTTTCATTGCTAATTTTTCACTACAGAATTTATCCTTTGATCTCCATGGCTTAATACCCGAAGTTACATAGCTTACCTAGCAAAATGTCCCTATGCTTCCTCACTTTCTCTTTCCAGTCTCATGACTAAAACTTTACTGAGCAAGTTTTTTTTCTTACTAACAGAGGGCAGGTGTACATGCATCAGAGTATATAGACAGAGAGAAAGAGAGAGAGAGAGCGAGAGAGAGAGAGCACTCCCAACAGGGGAGAGTCATGTTGTAATTATTTTTCTTCCAATTCTCTATTTTTTCAGGGTCCTGTACAGTGCCCACATGCCAGGCATGCTTTTCGAGTAACAGGGGCTGAGACTCAAACCCTGGTTGGCTATGTGGGTTCTGACTATCTCTTTCTTATTTATTTATTTATTTTTTTTTGGAGAGATTTTCACTGTAGGGCGCGTGCGCTCGCCAGACAGACAGAGAGAGACATAGAGACAGAAAGCGAGAAATCACCCCCCAGGGGGGATGGTCACGCCGTAATCCCTTCTCCTCCATTCTCCTCTCGGGATCTTGGGCACGCATGCACACGCACCCGGCGTGAGTTTTAAGCCACCGGGTCCGGGACACGAACCGCGGTTGACTACATGGGAATCCAGCGACATAGCCATTACGCTAACTGCTGGTTCCCCTGACTATCTCTTCAGAGTACCTAACTGCTATGCTGTGGGCCAACCCCACTTGTTCAATTTTTAAATATACACAGAAGCAGAAAGCAAAGGTCAGATTTTTTTTCAAGTCCCATGTTCTCTTTTGATAGCTAAATAATAGAGTATTTTGACTACACATATTTAGAAAAGTTTATAATTTTTTACTTCTCTACGTATAGAATGGGTATATAAGAAGTATTTTCCCATCAAATAGGCCAATTAGGCAAAAGTTGAATGGTGTCAGGCTTTTTTCCATTTCTCTCTCTTTTTCTTTCTCCCCATTCTCTTTCTCCCATCATTCTCCTAATAGGAATACATTTCTTAGCTACTTAGATTGCAGGATCAAAAGAACTAGAAAACACTGCTCTGAAATGTGCTTCATGCCACCCTAATAAATTAAACAAAGAGCTCAATCTATACATTTTAATAGTGCCTGCTACCAGAGCATCTAGGTGCAATTTTTATTCTCTCTTAATTTTGCACTAAACATTCAGGGTAAACTTGATATCTAAGATGTATTGAGGAAGGTTCTGGAAAGGTTCTTCTGAATACGGTCCATCTTTCTTTGGGGTCATTAATTGTCCTCATCAACTTAATGGCCTCCATTTTCTAAGCGGCAATCTAGGCTATTCTTGCAAAAGACCATGACCATGTGAAGATGACATATTTCCTGGAGAGAACGATTAGAGACTATTGATATTTCTAAAAGTATAGACAGCCTGACAGCCAATTTTAGAGTCTGGGTGACATTTTAAATTGGTAATGCTCCTAATTACCCAAACCCTAGGAATCCATATGGAATAGAGCCACTGCTCTAGAATTAATATAAGTAAGCACTGTGAACCCTTTACTAACAGCATGTTCTCCTAGAATAATGGCACAGTATCTATGTCAACACAGTGTGATATTGCAGTTAAAATACATACACATGGACACAAAACTTCTTGATATTTCCTAGTTTTTAGAGAATTTTCCAGCTATCAGTTTTTTTTCAAGTTTTCTAAATTTTCCAACAAAAATATTTTGTTTCCTTGTCAAGCATTGCCTTTTGGCATTGCTGTGTTGAAAAGTCAGTTTTATAGAGGATGAATGTAAGTAGGCAATGTAAAATAACATGGATCAGTAAGTTGTAAGGCAGAAATGTTCAGATTCAACCCTTAACTTTCCCATTTATTGCTCAGTGAACTTGGGCTAGTTGTTCCGTGTGTCTTGTTTTAGTTTTTCTTCTATGAAGTGGGCATAATAATGGTATCTACTCATATGGTTATTGTGAGGGTTTTTTTTTTTAAGTTCTAATATTTTTAAAATATTACTTTGTTTTAAAACATTTGTAATGTTTGGTGGGTCACATTTTAAACATTTTTAAAGACATGAAGTAACGTTGTATTTCTTTTTAAAGTAAAGGAACTTAAGAAAACAATTGTGAGAATTTAAAGCCAAGTAAAGCCCCTCCACAGTAGCACAGACAGTTGCTACTGAGTGGTACTGGAGCCCTAGAGAGGCTTAGGTTCGGCTCCTGGGTCAACATGAACATTCTGGGCACAGCTATATACAGCCATGATCTTGTCTGGCTGGGAGGCCGGAGTAGAGGGGAGGATTATGACATGATGAGACCCTGTTGAGTGTGTGTATGTGAATAAAGAAAGAAAACAGGGACCAGCAGATGGCATAATGCATATATTGCTGACTGACTGTGATTCACATCCCATACTTGGTGGCTTGAAATGAAATTCACACTGGGCACATATGTGTGCACGTCCAAAATCCTGAGAGGAGAATGGAGGAGAAGGGATTACAGTGTGGCCATCCTTCCTAAGGTGGTGATTTCTCACTTTCTGTCTCTCCAGCAAGTGCACATGACCTGTAGCAAAAATCTTTTCAAAGAAAAAAGCAAATAAAATGCCTCATTTAAACTAGTGCGTAAAAATGCTAAGAATGAAATTCACTCAGATAAGAGAAATATAAAAGACAGAAATATAGTAACTTGAAATTTCAATGATGAAGCTGAGATTCAGGCTCAGCTTCAATAGCATTTGGGGAGAAGAAAGCCCATAATACACTGTCCACCCCTTGCCTCTCAGGATATGAGTTCAAGTGGCCACTTTGTGCCAGTAAAAGGCAATTTTCTTGATTTATGTTCCAGTTTTGAACACGGCTAGGGAAAGCAAATAAAAAAAAAACTAATTTCATATCCTCTGTAATATTTCCCATAGAAACCTCCCCAGCTTTGCAGAGGGGGCTGGTAAAGTAGCACATGCTTCACTTTGGAATTTTTCAAAATCTTCAATTATTTCTAAGGATATGGATATTATTCTGAAAATGACTCGAGATAGTTTTCCTTTGTCTGTGTGATAAATCTAGTGAATCAAGTTCATCTGTTACACTCTACTTTTCTTGGCATCCTAAAGGCCATCCGTGTTACAAAGACACTAGACTAGAACACTGATGTGAGGAACATCATCTATGTGTCAAGGGCTTTGTGTACACTTCACATTATTTCATCCCTGCACTTAACCACACAGAGTGATTATTATTAACCTCTTTTAACAGGTCAGATAAACAAGTCTCATAGACATTCCTAACTTGGCCAAGATAAGACCACTAGTCTAGTAACTGTATCTAAGTTTGTACTTTAAGTCTGACCTCAATGCCCAATGCAGACTTTTGCCACCAGCCCAGTACCTATTTGTGTTTTCAATCCTTTTTTGTCTTCTTTTCTTCCAGGTTGTTCTAGATGTTGGTTGTGGATCAGGAATCCTGTCATTTTTTGCTGTACAAGCAGGAGCTAGGAGAGTTTATGCAGTAGAAGCCAGTTCCGTAGTACAGTATGCCGAGGTAAGTAGCTGCATTTTTAAGGCAGCTACTTAAGTATGCCTTCAATCCATTTCAGCATATCAAGTGATGGACTCTTCCAGGTAGGTCATTTACATAGAGAGATGATAGATAAACAGATTGATAGATTTGCCAGAGGGCGTGTGTGCTTGCCAGAGACAGAGAGGGAGGGAGGGCAGTGAGAAAGCACCTCCCTCCCCGTGAGAAACGGTCACGTAGCAGTCCCTGCTTCTTTATTTTTCCCTCCTTTCAGGATTTTAGGCATGCACACACAGGCAACTGATGTGTTTTTTAAGCTACCATGTCCAGGACTCAAACTGTGAGTTGGTCATGTGGAATCCAGATGCCTTAAACACCATGCCATCAGCTTGCCATAGAATAACTTTTTAAACCAATCTCTGACTTTTTTCTATTGGAACATTATTGCTGACAGAGCTTAACAACTCTGTAGTGATTTATATTAAACAATTACTTTTAAAATTTTCTCTGTTAAAACAAATACAATATCTTCTTTCTGGGTAAGGAGGAGAGAATAAAATTTTCTAATGAACTACCAGGTGAGGAGTGGTATTTAACTGGAGCTACATTTATTTTGTAATTCCTAAGTGTTGTACTGACAATAGCTGCACCTTACTTATGGTTTAAGGAGCTAATATGCTAGATGGTTGTAGTGAGAAGAAGAGACAGTTGTCAATCTTTTTTTGAGAGGTTTTTACTATAGGGTGCATGCGCTCACCGGAAGGACAGAGAGAGACAGAGACAGAAAGCAGGAAACCACCCCTGGGGGGGATGGCCAAGCCGCAGTCCCTTCTCCCCCATTCTTCTCTTTGGATCTTGGGCACGCATGCACACATGCCTGGCATGAGTTTAAGCCACCGGATCCGGGACTTGAACCGCAGTCAACTACATGGGAGTCCAGCGACATAGCCATTATGCTAACTGCTGGTCCCAACAGTTGTCAATCTTTAAGGAACCTCCATATTGTTCTCCACAGTGGCTAGACCAATTTATGTTCCCAGCAACAGTGGAGGAGAGTTCCCATTTCACCACTTCTCTGCTAGCCCTTATCTTTTTTTTTTTTTTAATCTTTGCCATCCTGACTGGAGTTAGGTGGTATTCATTGTGGTCTTGATCTGCATCTCCCTTATGATTAGGGATATTGAGCATTTTTTCATATGCTTTCTGGCTATTTGTATGTCTTCCTTAGAGAGTTGTTTGTACTCTAAGGATAGGAGACTGCGCAGTTGGAAAAGTGCTTGCACATCTGTGTTTATTGTGGTATTATTCACAATTGCTAAGACATGGAACCAATCCAAATGTCCATGAACAGATAAATGAATTGAAAAGTTGTGGCACATATACTCTATGGAATACTACTCAGCCATAAAAATCAAGATCCTGACTTTTGACAGAATGTGGATGAATATGGAAGATTTACTGTTGAGTGAGGCAAGCCAGGCTATAAAAGAGAGACATTGTATTTCTCCACTTAATACATACCGACTGTCTGCACTCTATGGCAGAAACTGAAAGATTAGAGAATACTGAAGCATAGAAAATTGTTATAGATACTGGAGACTGTGTGGGAAGAAGGTGGGAGAAGGTGCAGAGTGTGATGAAAGAAATTAAGGAGAAAAATAGAGAAGCAAGACATTTATGGGACACAGAAATGAATTGTTGTCTACTGATGATAATATGTATAGTATTCTCAACTGGACTGGTGTGAAGTGTATTTATGTTGGGTAAATTCACTTTACAAGTCAAATGATGCACAGTGATTGAATGTATAAAATACATTAAAAATTAAAAACTTAAAAAGTAAGGATATAAAGAAGGAAAATATTTTGTATAAAAAACTAGAATGAAAATCAAAAGCACAAAAAATAATTTAATAAAAGAGACGGTTGTCTATATTTCATGGAGCTTTGTCAGATTTAAGGTTCTGACTGGAGGACAGGAGAGATGTTTTATGTTAAATATGGTGCTTTATCATCATGATGAAATGTATGTAAATATTACAAAATGAGTCAAAATCAAGAATCAGGTAATAATGGCTTTCGGTAATACTTGAACCCAGTTAAGTCGCAGAGACTGTGTGTGCACATGAACAGGGTGATGAGCTTGTCCTTCCCGCCTGGAGGTGGCCAGTGTTTTAATAAAGGTGGGATGACAGATGGGAAGAAAAGCTTGTTGCTGCTTCAGAAGGAAATCATGAAACTTTCCTCTGATCCTGGCCAATGGGTAGCTCTGAGTTGTTTGTGTAGTGAATGAAAGAGGGTCCAAGAGATGAGTAGAAGACTCATGAGTATGGCATGTTTGGAGGGAAAGATGTTAAGGCCTAAAGGCTGTTAGGGTGTTGTTCTCTTTTCTTCTTCTAACAAATTCTGGGGAGGGGGGGAGAAAAAGACTATCTTCAATCATGTGCTACTTCACCAATTCTTAAAAGTTGTTTTATTAACACTGGTTATTATGCTTGAAAACACAAGTCTCCCTAAAAATTCTCAGGAAGAGGAGGGGCAGTTAAGTACAGACTCCCCTCAATTCAACATCCATGAGGTAATAGTGCTTCTATTCACACTGGGTCTTATTTATGTTTTATTATGTTTTATTAAATGTTAGTCATGCATAAAGAATGTACTTTTTCTTAAGATTTTTGCTATAGGGTGCATGTGCCCCCCTCCCCCCAGGGAAAGACAGAGAGGCATAAAGTGAGAAATCACCTCCCAGGGGGGATGGCCACACCATAATCCATTCTCTTCCATTCTCCTCTCGAAATCTTGGGCATACATACACATGCACCCAGTATGAGGTTTTTAAGGTGCTGGGCCTGGGACTTGAACTGCGATTAACTACATGGAAGTCAAGAGATGTAACCATTGCTCCATTTGCTGGTCACACAAAATAATATTTGTAAAATGTGTACAGACTAAAGACTAACAATACAGTAAGTGCTTACCCAGTACCCCTTAAAGAAATAAGCTATTAGCATTTCTATTAAAGGCCAGCAGGTGACATAGTGATTGGGATGCTGGTTCTCTCACATAGTTGACTGTGGTTTGAGTCCCAGACCTGGTGTGTGTGCATGTGTGCCCCACTATTCCAAGAGGAGAACAGAAGAAAAGGGATTGTGACATGGCCATGCCCCTGGGGAAGTGATTTCTCGCTTTCTGTCTCTCCGTCTCTCTGGTGAGCACATGTGCTATAGCAAAAAAATCTCTTTAAAAAAAGGCCTATGTACCTTCTGATCACATTTCCTTTCTGCCCTGAAAAGAGATAACCAGTATCTTGAATTTTTATCGTTCTCTCATTCTTTATAGTTTTACCACATGTGTTTTCTTACCTAAAAACAAATCATTTATGAACTTTCCATAAATGGAATCATAATGTATGTACTTTCCTATAATTTTCTTTTTCATCCAACATTACATTCCTGAAGGTCATATTTTTTCATGCATATGACTGTTGCATATACATTTTCAATACATTTCATATAATAGTGTCCTATTATATGGTATACCTAAGCTGTTTGTCCACAGCACTGTTGATAGACTTGGGTGGCTTCTATTATAGTGGTATTATGGATATCCCCTACAGTTATATATTGGGTCATAGGAAAGTCATGATGCATTTTTATGCTGGAAAGCAAAAAGATACATCGGGACTTTTCCGATGACCCAGTACATCAGAGTCCTTTTCCCTTAAACATTTAAGTATGCATTTCCTAAGAATAGCACTATTATATAAACCAAGGAAAAACCTGAAGGTGAAAATGAAGCCAAACAATAACTTGTTCACCGAGTCTTTCCATGTTAGTGATAAAAGGTGTTAGGAGAGACCCAGTGTGAATAGAAGCACTATTACCTCATGGATGTTGAATTGAGGGGAGTCTGTACTTAACTGCCCCTCCTCTTCCTGAGAATTTTTAGGGAGACTTGTGTTTTCAAGCATTATAACCAGTGTTCCAATAAGTTCTAAAGCACTGTATTTTTATTTTATCTTTGGTTTTAGCTTCTATAGAAGTTGTGTTTAATAATCTTTCTTTCCTCTCCAGAACCTGGGGCAAGCTGGGGGCAGGAGTGGCTTTCCAAAAGTGTCAGGAACTGCTGGGAGTCTTTGACAATTCTTGCTGAAAAGTCTGTTTTGTTCAAAATGTAGTCCTAAGAATAGCTAGTAAAAAATGTATCCTAGTCCAAGGATGATTAGAATCTTCTCAAAGGGTGGATTAACAATAGCCTGGTGTTGCCTGATAAAAATTATGGCCTCCACCATGCCCATCATGCCTGTCCTGGATATTATGAGATGTACCCTCTGGGCCCAGGCCCTTTCACCTTGCTGAGAATGATATGTATCAGCTCATGATTTCTACTCCTCATACAATACTTGTCTGTACAGTTTGTGGGTAGCAAAATGTAATTGTGAACCGCACACAAAAGAGTTTTACTCTAAGAATAGGCACATATAGCAGCTCAACGTACAGTGCGTGGTGCTCCTCTCGACCTTTTCATTATTTGGTAATTGAACCAGCAGACATTTAATTCTTTCCTCTGGAGTCTTCATTAAATTGCTCGGAAAAGATAATATTGCAACAAGAAAGAAAAATGTGCAAATTGAACTACCATTGCTTGTCCCTGAGTTCTTCTTCACACACCAGGCTTGTGGGCTTTAAGTAAACAGAATATTTTCAAATTGCATTGAATTCAATTTTAGTTGCACTTAGCAACTCAGCCTGGTTTTGTAAGGGCTTGTCCTCAGTAGGCAAGATAATGTGAATGACTCCTTGACTGGCAGGCATGTGTTGAGTCATTTCTTTTTTTTCAGGAGTGGTCATGAACTTGCCCAGGTGCAGATACACATTTTCACTCTGGGCTTCATATGACATTTCTCGGTCAGTAGTAAGAGACCATCCCTGTTGAGGAACAGGGAAGAACTAAAGGTCTCCTATGAGTATTCAAACTGTGAACTTGCCTGTCTTAAGTTGGCAGGTTTATCTTGCTCTTTGTTGT